TCACAGTGTGTTTTCTGCGCCAGGTTATAGTGCGCACTGCGAATCTTCGATATCGATTGTATGTCCATTTCCAAACAGAAAAACAAGGGCCAAAGGCGATTCCAACTGTAGGGTAGTATTGTAATCTCCGGCGAATTGGCAAATATATTCATAGCTCGTGCGTAGCTGGACTTCGTAATCGGTTCTAAACAACCGTCGAGTATTGTTTGCGTGATGGAGTCTGAAGACATTTGTTGTCTGGTGATAAATCGATGACCACGCGCATGATTTCTCAGGCGGGGGAGGTTACAACTCGCGTCTTGTCTAACAAAGGGAACAATGTGTCGGCGTCGTAGAGCGGATCGTAGTATACGGCGAGATAGAGGGATGAAGGCAGACTTCTCCCTACGACCCTGTGTGGCTCAGGAGATTTACCCACCATATTGCACGTGTCGAGTATGGTATGAACGGCACTGTGGGATGTAATTGTGCATTTACTTTCAACAGTACTTCCCCCAGTAGCGCATATGGGGCTTCTAGTAGCGGAACGCTCTACTCCCACTGAGGCTGGAAGGGAAGTAGAATATGTAGATGAGCTAGATCCGAGTATTACGTATATGGCATTTTTCCAGCCCTCCGCGGAGGAGCCGCGATGACCTAACGTAGGTAGAGTTGGTGCAGCGTCGTGGCACGTACGGTCCAGTTGTATCGCGCCCACACCAGTCTCCCTGGAAGATATTCCAGAGCTACTGGCTAGCTGATTTGTTAGTTGTGACAAAATCTTTTGAGACGACGAAGTTGTGCATTCATGAGTTGGATTGACTACGTCGTTTGCGCCGAGCATGCATTGATGTACTGAAGTCCGTTAACCCAGACGATGTGAACGGTCTGTGATCAATCGCAAGGAGTGGCAATACTCCAGTACGATCACCAGAGTTTCAGTTATAAAAACGAGATCGGCCATAGCGATTCGCGAGGAGTCCAGGTTCCTGATAAGGTGTGAGTTGTATTGTTGTACTATATCGGTCGCACCATAACCTATTTTTTTTAAGCGTCCAAAGCCAACTCGGTGTTGAGCTGTGGTAACCATATTATACGGGGACAGAAAAGCTCCGCGAGTAGCGTAATCTTCTCGATTTTCTTCATTTTGCTTCTTCGAGTCAGAGCATGATAGATCTACTCCATTCCGTAGTGCGTTGTAAATCTGCCAGAAAAGGTTTTAGATCACGAGATCCAACACTGCGAAGCTCGCCCACAGTAGAAGGCACAAGTAGGTCTGCCCAAGCTTGGTGAATATCCGTCGTTGATTGCGTAAAGCGCTGCTTACTACTGCTGAAGTGAGTGAGCTGATTTCCCCCCAGGAAGACTGGAGTCATTTTGAGCGTATTCCCCCCAGTTCGGTAATTAATCCAAGGTGAATCAATCGGATCAGTGAAACATTTCGGGTAGTTTATATTACCCATCGGCAGTGCCATTAAGCTCAATAGTTGTCCCGCATGATCTCGGAACTGCAACGGTTAGGAAGCGGCTACTGCGAGTGCGTAAAGTCCGTCTTGTAAGTCGGCACTCATCGTTAGATCCATCGGACGAGCTACTTGATGTAACTTGTCTAATCCTTCTGCCCAGATTTTTGACTTCTCTGCTTGCAAGTTGATAGCTTTTGGGTCAAATATCAGGCGGGCGCGAATGCCGTCCGATTTTCGGACCTTGTAGACGCGATGTATCAGGTACGCTTCCGTCTCTGAGCACTCGCGAAAGGCTTCAGCTGGCGACACCCCCGCAACCGACTGGTGATGTTCAAAACATTCATCATATCCACGGCTACATATGGGCTGAACATTATTGCCTGGGCTCCGCCTATATGGAAGGATGCGTTGACCCCCTATTCGAGCGCTTTAACTCAGCACTTATTCAAGCAGCAGCCATCGTTTCCCAAACATCAAACAAACTTACTTTACTTTTCCGGCCTTATCCCCGCGCGACCATTCGCGGACTACCTCGGAGGTTGCCTGGGAATACAACTCGACTCAATGGCAAGCACAAATCCACTTACCCCTCTGACGCAACCCGCCTGGGTCCACGATAAACCATCACTGCGCTTTCCATACAGTATCTATGCTCACCTGAAAACTGTACACAAAACCACGGGCGGGCGTACACCCGATCATGTAGCCCTCCGCCAACGCTGTGACGACATCAGGAAGAACTCAACAAAACGTTGGTCCAACAAAGAGATCGCGGCAATGGCCCGGCGCCAATACTACTACCAACTGGTTATGGATAAACCGCCAACCTCAAACCGAGACACAGCCAGACACGACAGCTTCAATCGCTGCTTCGAGTCTACACCAATCCGGCTCTGTGCTATGATTGTAACGAATACGTACATGCTCACATTGTTCGACTACCGCACCGACGGCTGTCTCTGCCCTGTTTGCCCCGGTAGCCACAAGTTCACTACCAGCCACTTTACCTGCATCCAACAACTGATTCGGCGCATCATGGTAGGCCT